TGTGTGTGTGTGTGTGTGTGTGTGTTTCATTCTTCCTTGTTTCTTTTATGTAGTAATAGTAATAATTATAATGAATTTCAAGGTAAGATAATTTCTGGATTTTGATCATAAGTATAATATTAATTTGCATTTCCAAGTTCTAACTGCACTTTTTCTTATTTTCCATATCATTATGATGAATAATGATAATACATGACATCACATTTACATAGGCCTTGTCATTATCATGTGTCGATACAATTGATCATCATGAGCAAAGTAAGGGGGCCTACTGACGTGATACTATACTGCCCCTCAGTGGCCAAAAGTCGGCACTACTTCACAGGCCAAGACAGCATTTTGCATCTTGCATAATTACAAGCTGTTTTATGTAAGAGTGTTGTGACGCATTTCTTTTTCGGGATAATAAAGAGTATAACATTTCCTATTCCACTACAACTGCTAATGATTACTACCGCTAATATTATTATTAACAATATTCAGATGTACACGTTTACTTTTATGAAACCTTTCAGGAAACAAGGCAATTGGAACAGCTTTCTGAAATATAGGAGGTTAAGTAGGTAAAAAGAAAATGTAGTGTAATGAACATATAAAGTGACAAATAAAAACTAGTCTTCACAAGTTCACTGTCTTTTGTTTGTAGGTTGGGCAAATTTAAGAGCAAATTCAGAAAATGAGAATTCATATCATGTTAACTACGAGCTACACTTCTTATTGCACTAGACCACACATGCACACACACTGACAAGGAAGCGAGTGCCACTCGATCATGCCGGACTTCATGTGCACATCCGGGTTCTTTTAGTATAAACAAGCCAGTGCACTCTTGCAACTGATGAGGACTCTTTTTTATTGTTAAAGCTCCACATTTTTACCCCAATAAGTCTTTAAAGTCTGTGCGTGTAACCTCTGTAACTCATATTTGTATTTATTTTATTTTTTCATTAACCTGTTATAAAACATGAAGTATACAAATAGAAACAGTCGAATATGGTTAAGATTTCCGAGTCTGCTTTACTCTTAAGATTATTAGCCAAACTTGGTTAATTGACCCGCTGACGTGCTATGTCCGTTCAGTCCGCCATAAGAGGTCATAATTCATCAGTAACACCAAGCGGGTAAGTTATCTGTGCATGCTGGCATGCAGAAAGCACGCTGGAAAAACGTGACCACGCCGCGAAACGCACAAAGCGATTCGGACCTATCAGAAGGCTCGGAACTACGCACGTTGGCAGTGGGCAGAGTCTCGGCTGTAGGTGCGGTGAAGAGGTTGAGCAGCTATTCGTGGACGTTGTAAAGGAAAATCTTTTGAGGTCGCAGCTCAAAATATCAGCTCAACAGTGAGGCAGACGGGTTATACGGAATCGAGAAGCGGTTATAACAGCTAAGTATTGATCTAGCTAACAGTAGGACGACGAATTTTACAATATTTCTGTTAGAAATTGTATTTTACATAACCAGCTTCCCTGGTATTCGCGGCACGGAACAGCCGG